ACACACACACACACACACACACACACACACACACACACACGGTCTAACCTGGCTGATACAATGACCGCATCTCCTTCGCTCCATCTCAGCGCCGGGATGGACTTCAGGCATTGTTTGGACAGAAGGAAAAGGCCCGGRAAGAACACGGACCCAGCAGCCAAGATGATCAGCATGGTCCCCGGCGAGCTGACTCAAGAGGCAAATAGTTCAGCAGACAATCTGGTCCTTGAGATCTGTCGCTCTCCGTCCTCTCTGAAAAATAACAGGATCCAAGTGGAGACGTGATCTGAGCAGCGGTGACTCCCTCACGTTTACATATGGCTGCAGTTGCTAAGATAACGCAAAAAAAAAAAAAAATGCCTATCACACTCAAACATACAGTACATGGCCATACATTATGCTAACTTTATTGAGGGAAAAAATTAGCTACATTTGGGCTGATGTGGTTTAAATTAACATGAAATATGTGTTTTTGCCAGTGTTTGTCAGGTAAATKATTAATTTAGCCAACAAAATAATGGCTACAACTCAGTCAGTTTTACACATAGTGAGCAAAATCCTCACAATATCGCATGAGATGGTGTAAAATATCCTTTACAAGTGGCTACAACTTTCTTATCATAAAATAATTTCAGTCTGAAATTAAACAGCCACAATGTTTCTGCATCGTGCAGTCATAAACTTCTCTGCATATCAAGGTTTTCTAAATATCTAAAATGTGTCCGACAGCTGAGTTTGGATCAAAGCTGGGTCACAGCAACAGATCTGTAAAGGATTGGCTGAGAAAACATAAAGGACCAGATCCAGTCAAAKTCCAGACCTTGAYCTGATTGACCAGACCTTAAAACAGCTGTGCATGGACCAATGTTAACAAACCAATATATAGCAATGTAAAGAAGAATGGGCCAAAGGCCTACTAGCACAAAAGCACTTTAAAGTCCAAAAAATAAACATTTCTTCAATACTGGATGGAATTTTCCTCTGAGATTGATTTTTTTTTTTAATCTGATTTTCTGTGTTCTGACATCACTTTCTAATGCTGGCTGTCCTCACTATTKACCAGGGCAGCAGACTAATAGAAAAAGATAAAATCTCAAAGAGATCACAACATGAACTTGATCTAAAACACTTTTTAWCAGAACGTGTTTGCTGACATCACTGTCAATGAACGTCAAATAAAAAAGTGCCAGTTTGAGCATCATCCGGTCTCACCCATCTGTTTTCCCACTTTCTCCATTTCTTCCCAGCTCGTCCATGTGCGGCTTTACACTTTGCTTACAATACRCCGGCTGACTCATTAAAAAGTTCAAGTCCATTAGCGAAATACGCAATGCGCTATTTTAAAACCGTCGAAAAATATCGACACAGCAAGGAGTTGCTGGGGCTCATTGTTCCTGAAARCAACGTTAGCTAATGTCACCTGTCTGGGAGGAGGAAGCTGTGCTGGGTCGCTTACAAAACAACCCATAACGGATGCATGCTAACACGCTGGTTATTAATATTTATCAGAGCTAACATTTTCCATATAACGTCAGCGTGAGCAGCTTGGCTAAAAATGCAACAAGACTGTATGATTGCAGCTGTTTTGTTTGTAGCTTTCGGCTGCACTAGCAGCTGTAACAGCTAACCGCTAACCTTAGCTAACAGATCGGAGTCTGCACATGTTCGGAGGAAAATAGGATAAGCAACAATTTACCCACAGCGACTCTGCAGAGTCCAGTCAGCGGCCAGTCGAAGGTCGTGTCCTGCGGGAAGCGTTTAAAGATACCCCAGGGCTCTCAGCCTCGATGCTCCGCATCTTTATGTGGCCGCTTGAATGTTTGAAGGGTAGCAGCAGCGCGAGCTAACGCCAGCTAACTTTGATCAAAATCTGTGTGAGGTTCGTTTACTGCGAAATGTTGGTGACTGGCATCCGAGCCAGTCAGCGTAATCAGATGGCGTTGACTGAATAAGATGGGTGAAGGCGGCTGAAGGACGAGAAGACCGTCTGATCCAGATGTGGACGTGTTGTTAGCRGATCCTGTCGCTATGTCCTCGCCTCTGTCTCTCGCCACAGCAGCACAGAGATGCACCGTTGACTCAACACTGTGGACTGCTGCGCCAGCCAGTTGTGTATGGCAAGCCGGTGTGCCATAAAATTAAGTAACACTGTAATTACAGATTTAGATACAAGTATAGCATTTCTCCTGGTYAAAATGGTAACCTGACCTCGCTAGTATGAACTGAAATTAATAATATTTAAAGGTAGAAATATGAAATTAAACATAAGTAAAGCTAGGAAAAAACTGTAAGCACTGATTGACTTTGCTTAAATTATTTAAAAAAAAAAAGGTGGAAGTGAAACCGTAGATGAATTTTTAATGTTTATTTCAAATATTTTAAAAAGTAGAAAACACAAAAAGCAGAAGAACTGGGAAAAAGCAGAAAGATGGTGAAAAGCACAAGGAGAAAAGAAAAGACAAAAAGGAAGTCAAAYGAGACAAAAAGTAAAAAAATAGACGCAGAATTAGACAATTAGATAAGAAAATACATAAAAGACAAATAGTAAAGGGAAGCACATTGAGGGGGAAAGGATGCACAGTGGGACATAGACAAATATGACACACAATGGGGCGGCTGTGGTAGAGTGGTTAGGGGAGTCAACCTGGAACCGGAAGGTTGCCGGTTCGATTCCCATCCAGTCGACTCAGTCGTTGTGTCCTTGGGCAAGGCACCTTACCTGCCTTGATGGTGGTCAGAGGGTCCGGTGGCGCCTGTGTATGGCAGCCTTGCTTCTGTCAGTGTGYCCCAGGGCAGCTGTGGCTACAATTGTAGTTTACCATCATCAGTGTGTGAATGTGTGTGTGCATGGGTGAATGTCTGCAGTGYTTTGCGCGTCCTGGATGGATAGAAAGGCGCTATATAAGTACAGTCCATTTACCATTTTACCACACAAGGAGACATGAAACACAAAAAGATGTATAAGGTGACACAAAAGGACAATTTGAGACAAAGATAGCAAGCTGATGTAATTTTAAAGAGTGCAATATTTTTAAAGGGTTTTAAGATATCTGAACATATTTAAATGAGAACTAAGTGTAAATAAAGTTAAATATTTCAATTTCAGGGTACAAAAGTTGCTAAATTTAATAAATATCCAGCACCTGTTTGCAAATGTTTGTAATTAGGGTAAACTCATCAGTATTTCTGTTACTGATCAACCACTTCATCCATTTTCTGTGGCATTCTGGGTAGCTGAAAGGTTCCTTTTTACTTGTAAAAATAAAATTCTGACTGGTTTGCTTTGGAGCCTAATTATTAAATGATGCACTGGCTTGCCATAATTGGTGTTATAACAAGAAATGTGGATCAGTCATAAATCTGTGTACTGCATTTGAAAACAGTGAAAAGATAATTAGTGGCTTCTGTTAAAGAGTTTGACTATAGTTTTTTTCAGAAGTAAAGCGAGACATATCAGGGTGCAGGTACCCCATTTTTTAAAGATTAATTTAAATTATCTTAACTGTCTTCTAGTATGTATAAAACTTGAGAGTTAAATAACTAAAGGTAATTGTAAAGTGTACAAAATGTACTTCAAACTGTCTTAAGATTAATTGACCTTTTTTAAATTTCTTWTAAAGTGTTACATGAAATTTAACCTTTAAATCTTTTACAAACAGATGAACATGACCTAATTCCTTAAATAGTCAAAGGTGAACAAAAATATTAAACTTGGAAAATGGTGTAATTCGATAGCATGACTTCCTTCAGCCTTGCTGTGAGCAGCAGCAATAATGGATTCATGGTCATAAATATTTAAACTATCTTTGAAAAACCATGACGTTGCTTACCTTTAGCTTCTTTGCAACTTTAATGTAAATGTAATTGCACTCATTTTTATGTTGTAGCTGATGTTGTGCTTCGTTTCAGGTGCTTAAGACAAAAAAGTCACACACAGAATAACGCCTCTTTACTCTTTTACTTTAAATTGTCCAAATTATAAAATAACATGATCTCTACTTCATCTACAAAAAAGAAAAAAAACAAAAAACAATCGACTGTAGTAAGCATCATTTTTTTTTACTCTAACAACTTTTTAGACATGCATACTGTTGAGAAATATAAAAATATAAATATAAATACATCCCATTAATATTCTTAATGAATTCATGACTAAGATTTGAAATATTTCATCATAAAAGAATTAAAATGTAGTTGAGTATGATAAGGCATTATGATGTATCACAAGAGCTGTACAGATTTCTAGAGGTAATTTTTTTTCTTGTTTTATTTTGATGAGGAAAACCTAAGAATTAACTCGCAATAAATCACTAACTTGGTTAACAAAGAAAACAATTAATAATCGAAATGAACAAAGAAGCGACTACAGATTAACACAAAGTTGACTTAAAACCGCACTCGAAAAACAAAACCAGGTTTTGTTTACAACAAAGCAAGTGACGCTTCAAACGCTCTTATCCGTCCTCGCCAACGTTATAAGCCCTTCCAAACCTCACGTCACTCACGATTACAGTTGTTTGTTCGTTACATCGTTGATGCAGAACAACAAGGACCTGCGTTCAAAACAAAGAGTTAAAAACAACTACATCTAATGCATAAGTTTCACTCATTGGACTGGTACATAAAGAAAACTAAAAGAACTATGGCAATGACAGTTACAATCAAATGAATGGCAAACTATGTCAAAATCTTGAGTAAAATTAATTCTTTTATATAAATATTATTGTTTACAGCTAACTAACCTAGTGGAACTGCTAAAAGTTTTATTTTGTCAGGACAGTTCCCCTAACGATAAGCATGACCGAGCTAGTTTGTTTCCATGCAAAACGTAGATCTCAGGTGTGAGAAGAGTCGCCATGTCAGAAGCGAAGTGCTGATTAGTAAGTTTTTTTTAATCATTTGTTTGTTATTTTTATTTTATTTTTTTTAAAGGCCAGACCCAGGGAGGAAGACTTGGAGCAAGACAATCCAGGAAATCTCAAACCTTGATCCACACTAAGTCCAAAAACAACCGATTAAGGTGCTTGATGCTCCTGAACACAACTCTCCTTTTGTTTCTGTACCTTTAGGAAGTGAAACCTACAAGCCCATAACCGTCCACAGCCTGTTCAGTATGCTCTCTTTCCTGATCAAACTAAAAGGGTAGTTTGGACTTTTTGAAGTACGTTTCTGTGAAGCAGAAACCTGTAACAGACAGAAGTCCTAGCAAAGAGATTTTGTAGGAAAAGGAAAGAAATGAGCCAGATTAGCAGCTGCATCGAGACAGCCTTCCAGAGGATTACCAACAAAATATTTCCAATGTTGCAACAACTCCAGAGGAGATCGGACATTTAACTGGTTTTCAACCGTCTCAGAACAATCCGAACCCTGTCCAACCAACTGTTCTTCCTCTACGTCCTCTGGCTTATACAGATATCCTCTTATCTCTCGAGAAATGGAAAATCATTTCCACTGCCGTAATCCTTCATTGTTACTGTCTCAAAATGATCTTGAAATACTACCAGCAAACTGACGAGCCTCAGCTGAGGAGACAGACCGATCCAACCAGCAGCATTCGTTTTAATAACAATGTTCAGCAATAGACTAAAACACACATGGAAATCTTACAGCTAAAAATCATATCTAATTAATTCTGCAATCAAATATCCTAATTTAATTAAAGCCTGGCTTTTATTTTGAAGGAAACTGGATGTTAATATCAACAGCACCAGTTTTTTTATGTGGCCCCTCTGAAAAAGTAGCTTCCACTAGGGTTGGGCATAATCGTATCGTGTTCAATTCATCGTCAGAAAAACAATAATCGATTATTTTTTGGCACTTGACAATTAATACGATTATTGTCACCATGCAGAGTGCGCTCGGTGCTCCTCTCTGCATTAAATATGACAAACATTTAAAAAAAAATTGTTCTGTAATTTATTTATCCATCAACACATTGTAAAAATCTGTTCCAAATTGTGTCAAAATTACAGACTTCAGGCTTTACATCAAATTTTAAAAAGAGCAAATATTTCCCATTAAATTGGTCATGTGACCAGGACAYAAGGGTGTCCAGGGACTCAAGCGGATTAATCGTCAAATGAATTGTTATCGGTTAAATATCACAATTAATTGCAATAAATTTTTTTGCCACTATTGCCCAATCCTAGCTTCCACCCATCTGAACAAAATAATCTCATACAAAAGCACAGAGGTACCCTGATCTGACTAGTCTTTATATTGACCCCTAAATGACAAATTAGTTATTTTTCAACTACCTAATTTTGCTGAGACTTCGGTTTATTTTAGGTAAGATACTAACTGCTTGTAACTACTCCACAGAACCCCACTTCAATAAATCCAAACCACCGCTTTTGACATCTTACTAAGAGAAGACTTACTGAGCTAGCTTTAAATCTAAATTTAGTCTCCATCTTGTGGAAAACAAACATGCAAGACGAGTCCAAACTTCCATTCTAATGTTTGTTTTGTTTTCTAAGAGACATTTTTTCTCCCTGCAACTTCTTAGTAAAAGTCATTTGGATCCTTTTCTTCTTTTTTTTAAATTCTGTGTTGCAAAAATGGAGGTAAGATCAGAGCTGGTGACAGACATACAGTACTTGGTGCACTTGCAGAGAGCAGCTGATGCCAAAACGAGTTGAGGTGGGAAGATCAAACCGGAGGCTCTTTCACAAAACGTTTCAAGCCAGGACTTGAGACGCCTTCTGGCCGTTTGAATGGACCAAGGTGGTGGGGTGGGATGGGGTGGGGTTAAGCCAAGCCACTCCTGATGTGCCGTGAAGCGAGGTAGTAACAGAGCCGAACAGTCGTGAAAAGTAAAAAGGTAAGCTGGATGAATAATGACGACATGATCTGTACGACCATCCGACCGCAGGATTAAACAGATTAATTATTAAGAGAAGATCGATGATGATGCTAACCGATTTTATATTTAATTTAAAAAAATGGTTACCCACAAAGATGATCACTAATCTGAGTTAATTCATTACGTTTTGAAAATGATACGAGGGAGACGTCTGTCACGTAGTTAATGCGTTCGGCTCCACGCCTCGTTTGGTTCTTTTCAGTTTCTGAAAGCTCACGTCTCTGCGGGACATGGCCGGCCCCAGCAGTGATTTACGAACGGCCAGAGGCAACATAAAGACAGACTGGTTCGCGCGGCCATTTTGCCGAACTGTTTCATGAAAGAGCCTATAGAGAGGGCAGAGGGATGCGGTAAACGCTCACAAATCTACAGCTTCACAGGGGCATTCAAGAAAAGCTGGACAACACATCCAAGTTTGTGTCAGTGAAGCTGCTGCAGCCACAGAGATCCATCATGTTGGTGGCGTCAGTCTGTCTATTTTCTTCTTTTGTTCCAGGCATGCACCTCTGAGGTGAAACTGCTGCGCTGGCTTTAGTTTCTCCTTTAACCCTTACCATTTACTCTGACAAAACTGAAACCAGATCAGCATCTAAGTAGCTTCCACCTCCTCTACCCTGACCCTCTGCCTCATGTTAGCTCTCTGCTGCTAACTGTGGGACTGTGGYGCTGCGATGCTAGAGCAGTCTGTGACCAGCAGGTCCACCACCGTGTTACCGGTCACGTACACGGTGGGGGCGGTCACCATGTTGCTGAGGGMGACAGAGCTGCTGGCCACCACGTTGGAGGCGATGGAGCTCGGGGTGCCCTGRCTGGTGCTGTGGGTGCCCATGTGGCCCTGGAGCTGGGTGGGCGTCTTGCAGTGGACGCCGCACAGCTGGCAGACRAGGATGCCCCCAGAAGTCGTCCCTCCAAAGCCCCCCGGGCTCTCTTTCCATTCCTGGCCGTGGTGCTTCTGGGCATGGACACGAAGGTACGTCAGCGTGGTGAAGCCTGAWGGAGGACCGCAGAGCCAGGAGTTATTTCAGAGGAAAACACAAACTTTAATGGAAGTTTGATACAGAATAATGACAGCCATTAATTTAACACTGTTCACACATTCATTGCATAAAAACTAAAAGCAAGGATGTAAAAGTGACTCAATCTGAATATATGAGCTCTACTGCTGCTGGTACTTTTATACCCCAACATTAGTTGTACTTTACACACAACAGTGCTCTGATTTTTGCATTTAAACTGGTTAGAATAAGGGGTGGGAGGTCAAATCTATTTTTAGATGCATTGCATCACGGACGTGGCAGATTCAAAATCAATTTATCCATTTTCAGAAATCAATTTTTAATTGTGGACACAGCTTACCAAAACATTAACTTCACTAACACCTAAACTGCTACTCAGATTTCTTAGTTCCGCTACCAATAAAAAGATAAATCATAACTGCTAATATTTAACGTATTAAAAAGTAACTAAACCCAAAATCAACTTTTATTTCCAGATAAACATTCTAAATTGTGCCTTAAGAGTATCTTTACATTTCTGTGCTAATTTTGATATTTTTAGACGTTTTTATTTAAGTTTGTTTAACTCTGCAGTATTTTCTCTAAAACCGCCTTAGTGCTGCCCTCTGTAGGTTGAACAGAGGCTACTGCAGTTGATTTTTCCTATTGGTTAAACTGGTACATGTTTCCGTCACAGCTCCTGGCTCGCGTATAACAGCCTCTCACTCAGAGAYACGCCCCTGCAGCAGGTCAGGGGTTGGAACAGACAAACCTTTTCTGGATTATCCTACACGTATAGCAGAATGTTTAAAACCAAGTTCGTGATTTGTGAAACCTTTATTTGATTTGTGAAACATCATTAAGTCAAGCTTAACACCTGTGTCAAAATAAAAGCATAGATTTAACATATACGCGTGCTTTCCGTAAGACAATAAAAACATACAATATTTACTCACTGCGGTTACAAAGGTGACAGACGTGGTGCTGCGACTGGTTATGAACCCTCATGTGATCTGTGATGTAAGCAGCAGACAGCAGCTTCCCACAGATGTGGCACGGCACCTTCTCCTCGTGGCGAATCATATGCGCACGCAGGCGATCTTTTGTGGCGAAGCAGGACTCACAGGTCTGAAGAACAATAGAAAAACTAGGACTCATTATTTATAATAAAGGCAAGATGTGTTTATTTATGTAAGCAAAAGATAGAGTTTTCTTATTTTAAACTGTTTTGACCCTCTCCGTGCCAATTCTTCAGGAATAATTTTTTAGAGATATTTTACTCACTCAGAGATTCAGACTAAAGCTGATAATTAAACTTTCAAAACAGGCTAAGAAGATTTAACGCCATGCTGATGTGACATACAGGGCATTTGAAGGGTCGTTCTGAAGAGTGCACCTGTCTGACATGACTGTTGAGATGATCGGGCCTTTGGAAAGACAGAGACAGGGAAAACCATTAGCACGGGAAACGCCCTGAGGGCTGACGAGACGACGGCGGCGACGCGCGGCAGTTTGTTCACCTGGAGAAAGCTTTGCTGCAGTGAGGGCAGATGTAGGGCTTCTCCACGCCGCCCTGGTGGGAGCGCACGTGGTGGCTCATGCGGTCCTTCCTCTTGAAGCGCTGCTGGCAGATGGGGCAGGAGAACGGCTTCTCGTCCGAGTGGGACAGGCGGTGGCGGTTCAGGTGGTACACGTCCCGGAAGGCCTTGCCGCACGTCTCACAGGCGTGGTTCTTCTTCACGGGGGTGGGGTTTGGGTTAGCGGGCCGCTGAGACAAAGAGATAGGCTGCAGAGTTTAGATGGGCGGTGTTTTCCGCGCAGGATTACGTGTATTTACAGGAACGATGGTCCACTACTCTAACGTTTCCGACTTTTATTTGAACCCATGCAAAAACAAATAATMGGCCAATTAGACAGTTCTGACAGCTGAGGTTAGAGAAATCACTTCCGACTCAACTTGCACACTGTTTTGTGTTACAGAGAACATGCAGGGGAGCGTGGGGGCTTCACGCACTTCGTTTCTTAAACCGGGGACCAGTACCAGTACCGAGACGGGCCTTACTGGTCCCAAAACTGGTTAGTTTGTATGGGGTTCTCATATTTAACACACAAGTGAATTTAAAGAGATCCATGATTAGTTGTAACATTAGACTTTATTTAATAAACATATTTTAACTGTAAATCAAAGACTGTAAAAATACTGTAGGCTGTTTAGTCTTTATAATTTTTAAACTAAAACTTTAAAAATATATTACACAGACGGGGCCATTTTATTTACATGCAAATCATTCTGGGTAAACGATGACGTGGATAGGTCATCGGTGCGAGGCTGCTAGCGAGCTATATCCACCCTGAAGGTTAATCTTGGACAATATCTGAMGATTGACTCTTTTAAATGAAACCAGAGAGCGTTGACAGAGAGGAGAAGATAGAAATGACTCAGCATGCAACTGAAAATATGGATGGAGGTCAACAGTTTAGCTTGTCGCGCTAGCGCCGAGCTATTACATATAAGGCAATATAGCGTTGGCGCTAGCGCAAAGGCTAACAGGCTAAGCTGAGGTTCTTCCATGAAGCAGCTCTGTTGTCCTCCATCCATATTTTCCGTTACAGGCTGAGTCATTTCTATCTTCTCCTCTCTGTCAATGCTCTCTGGTTTCATTTAAAAGAGTCAATCGTCAGATATTGTCCAAGATTAACCTTCAGGGTGGATATAGCTCTCTCACACCGAGGACCTATCCACGTCATCATTTACCCAGAATGCTTTGCGTGCAAATAAAATGGCTCTGTCCGTGTTGATTTTAAAAATTTACAAAACTGTACAGTATTTTTACAGTCTTTATTTTACAGTTAAAATAAATGTTTATCAAATAAAGTCTAATGTTACAACTAATCATGGATCCCTTTAAGTTGAAATCACTCCAAGACAGCTGCTTGGAACCAGCCTTACAGCGTGCCAGTTTAAGGAACAACATGCCTGAAAGGTTTTGGCGCCGACGACAGCCATCTTTCACAAGGCCCTGACCCACCTGTACTGTCGCCCCTGTGGCCATGACGACAGCAGCAGGAGGCGGAGCATGAGGGTTAACACCGGCCATTATGTTTGGCACGGCGACCCTTTCGCCATCCTGACCACCCAGCGGGGGTTGATGGGTGCCCACCAGCACGCCAGGAGGGGCGAGAGGGGGAGGCGCGGAGAGGTGCAGCAGGGAGAGGGGAATGGCGGGCCCCTCCACGCACCCTCCGGCCCCCACCACCACCGCCAGCACCTGGTCGGAGTCTCCCTCCTTTGCTCCCTCCGCCTGCACTCTGGCCCTGTCCTTCATGCGTACCCCAGTGTGGACCGACTGGTGCCGCCGCAGGTTGTAGTTGTTCTTGAACTGCTTGTTGCAGATGGCACAGATGTGTTGGGCGCGGGCCGGCCGAGGTGCTGGCTTCACTGGATCCCAAAGAGCCGAAGAGAAAAAAAAATAGAAACAGAGAGAAATGTGTTAAATTGTGTTCTTCACCGACTCTGTGTTTAAAGCCTACTGCACATTTGTGGTATAAGTGAAGAAGTTTAGAGGAGTTTGCTTATATACTGATCTTAATTCAGAGTTGTAAAGTAACTAAGTACAAATCCTTTGTTACTGTACTTAAGTAGATTTTTTGGGTATCTGTACTTTACTTGAGTAATTATTTTTCAGACTACTTTTTACTTCTACTCCTTACATTTTCACACAATTATATGTACTTTCTACTCACTACATTTTTTTAAAAAGGCAAAAAGTAGAAAGTTGCTACTTTTATTTCATTTTTGCTTGTTTTCATTCCAGCTTGTTATTGTAAAAAAATAAATACTATCTATATAAACTGTGCCTCCAAGATAGAGTGGATTTAATTGTGGGTGAATGAGAAGTATAAATATTTGAAATTCTGATACTGAATTAGTTTGTACACAAACAAATCATGTCACACTCCAGCAGGACATAATCATTAAAATAAAAAGGACTGTACTTCAATGAAGTATATGTATTTCATGAATTACATTATTGCATTTGGCCGCAGCCTTGTTATAAACTAAAACAGCTAAACTTGTGCATCCTAAATTTAACATAAATTATTTTAATACAACACAGTCATTTCTGCATTTTTTTTGGGGAGGTCACCTCCTAATAAATGTCATTATAGAAAATCTAACTG